CCTTGGTTTCTAGGCCTAGAACGACCCTATTGCAGGAATATCGCAGCACTTATTATTCAATACCCTATGAGGCATACAACAAAAACATCGATGGGATGCCATGATGGGAAACATCAATAGTCACGTATCCATATTTAGTGATATGAGGACCCACGAACACGGGTAATCTCTAGTACACATTCCACATTCTGAATTACAAGTTTCAAGTTTCAACCGCATCAAGTCGTCAATGCAGCTTCTAGATGATTGTGAGTTGTGAGGCGTGAGATAAGAAGCGATTAAGAAACATCTATAGACTATAGATGCTGGATTGTCAAACGCAATCTCTAATTTAGATAATGGGGACGTTCATTTTTCGTAATTTGGACTTTTGGAGAGAAATTGATCAACAGGAAAATTAATCAATTTACTGTATTAATATAGGTTTGACAACAAAATAACTTTCTTTTAGGTTAATAAAATACATATCTCCTAAGTGGATAAAACCCAAAACAAGGTGAATAAGGTTAAGATAATGCTCTGGATGCTAATTACACCTCCAGATTGGAAGAGCTTCATCGATAGTGAGGATATAAGATTCCAATTCAAGGGTCCTAAACGAAGTAAGGTCTTTGGTGGCATCTGATAATCTTGAAAATAAGATCTGAAAGTAAAATTTCCTAAACTTGAAAACAATTTCCACGAGTGTTTAGGGTAAAATAATCATCCAAAGTTCCCAATACCATTATTCAGCAAGGTCATGTTTGATTCACTCTGTGCCTTTTTTTTTCTTTTTTTAATTCTTGTTCATTCAAGGCAAAAGTGGGCAAGAATGAATATCATACGAACGTTTGGTTATAAAATTCTTATCATGTGACTTGTTCGTTTCAGAATGAAAAATCAATCCATAACATAAAAATTAAGTTATCCTGTGGCATGAAAAATAATCATACCCCATATTGTTCATTTTCATTCTTTAAACAAACTTTATGCCAATGGTCATTAATTATCGCCCTAGGTAAACAAAACCACCACTGTTAATGTTTATTGGTGGACTGTGTGAAAATTTATGCCAAAGGGCATTCATCACTGACCATCCACCGGTAAACATCTATGCGACGATATTGGAGACCTAGGTTGGCGGTTTATGACCACTAACACAGTTTTGTTTAAGAATGAAAATAAGTAACATAGGGCACCAACCAGTTTAAAAAGAATTCATTTTTAAGATAAAAATGTTTGGTTCATATCAATATTTTCTCATTCTACCCATTTTTATCCAATCTTGTCCATTTTAGAATTTCATGTTGGATAAGAATAAGAAAGAATGATAGTTGAACCAAATATGGCCTAAGTAGCTTTAGAATTAGATAATGGCTGAACTAACTGAAATACTGAATCAAGCAAATATTTTCGGTATTTCATATTTAGATCTTACTAGTAACTGCCAATTTTGGATGATGATGATGATGAATAAATAAATAATATGTTTTTAAAATTTTTTACATTTTTTTATATTTATATGTTTATAATAACTATTTTTATTTGTCACACTTAATTTTGTTTAATATGATTAATATATGATATTAGAGATGTGTACAAATGTTTTCTATAAAGACCTTACAAATGTGTACAAATGTGTACAAATGTTTTCTACTAATATATGATATTAGAGATGTGTACAAAAATTTTTATTTAATTAAGACACTTAGGGTTGGCACATTTGACCCAAAAGGTATTATTGACTAGTGGTGCAACTTGGGCGGGCCCAGCCTGACCCCGAACCGACCCAACCTGGAATTTTACACAGGTCGGGCTTGGATTTTCGGTCATCGAACTGGGCTCGGGCCCTAGAAGTTGGGCTTTTCTATTTTTTGGGCCAGGCTCAGGCCTAGCCCTTAGGTAGCCCAAACCTGGCCCGAGCCCGGCCCAATTATATACATTTATACATACATACGAGTATATGTAAATTTTGCATACATATTTACATATATATATATATATACATATTTGTATAGATATTTTGCATAGATATTTACATACATACTTAAATATATGTATATATATTTGCGTAAATACATTTATAAATGTATAATTTTAGAATGGGTTCATTGACCAACCCGAGCCCAGCCCAGGCTCGAGCCCAACCCGAATGCATCAAATTACAGGGTGACTTGGGCTCGGATTGGGAAAATTGGTCTTGACCTCGGGCTCGGGCCTTAAGCCCAAATTTTAGGGCCAGGCCTGGGTTGACCATAAACCCAACCCAACCTACCCAACTTGCACCCCTATTATTGACTCACCACCAAATAGAAAAACAAATTCATTTTTTGAGTTGGTTTTAAATGTATTTTATTTATATTATCAATAAAAATAATTATTTTTTATCAAACTTATTTTTATTTAATATGATTAGTTATAATATAGAATTCGATGAAAGAATGAAAATTAATTTCCTAAAATTACATTTTTCTCATTACAATTAGAGAAAGGCTAAATAAGGGTCGAATTGACCCCAACGGGATGTTGACACATGGTGACACCGGAAGCCTTGGCATCAGCTCGGATGTTCCTAACAGCGGTTTTGGCCTGAGGTTCCTCACAATGCTTGAATAAGTCCTAGCCTGGTATCCCAGCTGAGTTGAATGCATCAAGAAGCACATTTTGCTGAGCAAGTCCAACATCAAAAGAAATACACTCGATCTGCACCACATGTACTTAATGACAACCACCTAGTGATGCAATCATCCAATTTGTCCACTCTGTTAGATAGTGGGTCTCGGGCTTTCTCCACATACATTTGAACATGTCACTCGAACCACCTACACGTGTCTCATAAGATTCATCGCTCATCATCACCACCGACACCGTATGTTGCCATAATCTATATAAAGGTAAATTCTAAAGCTTGATAGGTAAATTGCATTTATTACCTTTAATTTATATCGAAAAACTTGATAGATAAATTGCCAAATCCAAGCTAGGATATTACTTGTGCTATCTTGGTCTCTCTTACTTAGTTCTACCTCGCAGGTTTTCACCTCTAATTCAGACCGTCATAATCCGAGGAAACCCTACAAACTCAGTATCCTTATTTAATAACTTTAGCATCTATTTGGCATCGATGTTGTTGCTCCAAAAAATGGTGATACATCAATATTACATTAAAAAAAATGGTTTTCTAGGAAACATCTATTTGTTTGGAATTGTTTTTCCATAAAAAACGGTATTCTAAGTCACGTCTTAAAAATCAGGAATGTGTGGCTTAGAGCAATGCCGAATTTAGTATTTCCTGGAGTTGTAACTTGTTGTTGCCAACAGGGACAAGAGGTGACAATGACAGGGACATGACATGGCACTAGATAATAGGTATCAGTGCTGAAAACGTTTCTTGAAGCATCCGTACCAAATAGAAAACGTTGTTGTTGCTCCAAAAAACGTCTTACCTAACAACAACATTTTCAAACAAAAAAAAGAAGACATTCCTTTCTCATAAAACGGTACTTCCAACCCACACATCAACAGAAAATAGTGTTGTATCCACAGCATCGATGCCAAACATATACTTAATGATCAACAGCCAGACTTGTTCATGGGCTAGGCCGGGCCGGGCTTTCACTTGTCATTAAGGGAAATATGATAGGCCCGAGCCCGAGCCCAGCCCGACCTAATAAAAAAAAAAACAATTTTCCCTATTCAAATTAGAATTAAAAATTCAGATAGTTTTTTTTCCTATTTAAATGAACAATGGGCCTACAAGATGGTTTTTTTCCCCTCTTTTATATTTTAAAACACAGTTTTACATTCTTAAATAAAAAAAATTATTCAAATGGACATAATCGCATTACTCACTTTAAGTCTAATATTAGGCCGAACCGGGCCGGGCTATTTTGACAAAACCTGAGCCTGTCTCGAATTTATTGTGGGCCGGGCTTTTTGGCCCGAATTTAAGCCCACGGGCCTATAACTACGTTCAAGCCCGTTCAGGGGCCGGGCCGGCCTATCGGGCCACCTGGCCCATGAACAGGTCTATCTACAGCTAAATTCATAAATTGCCAGATTTTAGTAAAGCAAAAAATTCAGCACTCTCATTCACACGTGCTTATTCAAGTGATGTTACGCCACCTATCCCAAAATACGAGGGCCTAGAGGTGTAAAACGGGCCATGCCGCCCTCTCCAGGGATAACTTGGGGGGTCGGCCCGGCATGGCCCACGACCCAAGCTTGTGTCATGCCGTGGTCCAAGCTGGCCCGTGGGCTGAGCCTTGGGCCAAGCCGGGCCGTGCACCGGGCCAAAGCTATTTATTTAAACTAATTGACAAAAAACTTAAAATTTTAATTTTATATGAATTTTGATGTATAAAATTACTTATATATACAATAATTAAATAAATTAGTATAATAAAATTAAAAACTTATTTATTTTATTAATATATTATATAATATATATTATTATATAATTATAATTTATATAATATAAATATATATATAATAATATATGGCCATGTCAGGCCGTGCCGAGCTGGGCTGCAGGTTGGGCCGTGCCAACATGTGAACCTTGGGTAATACTGCCCGTTCAATCGTGCCGTGCCAACCTGGTCCATGGACCTAAAACACCAGGCCTAACACGGACCATGGACCAACATGCCAGGCCAGTCCAAATTCATACCGGGCGACGGGCGATACGACCCGATTTACCCCTCTATAATGCCTATCGTCTCACGTCGGGTATCGGAGATGGAACCTTAACGATCTCCGTCTCCTAATTCTTTCGGTTAAGTGGTTATGATATGAATTGCCTTTTAAAGAGAGACGGAAATAACGGAAGTCGTTACTGTCATCTACGCTTCTACAGGTGCGGTGGCGTTATGCTTGAGCCTTTGAGGGAGAATACCAACATGAACAGACCGTGAGACCGGAGAAATAGAGGATCCGAACTATTTACGTTTATTTATTATTAATTAAAACTCAACCTAATACAATAATAAATAATAATTGGTATATAAAAGACTATGGAGCCAGTATAGAGCATACACATCTCTAACTTACCTTACCTACCCTGTGTTCGGTGACTGGGTCTGTCTCTAGGGAAGAGCAGCCGAGCAGCAGCAGGAGAAGAAGAGAAGCTTCGTGACGCCAACGAGCAACGTCCCTTCGCCGTCATTCTCTCGAAAGATTGGGGACATTTCAGAAGTCCCCCTCCTTTATAACAACGCTGGATCACACCGCTTCCTTCACTCCTCTCTCTTTCCCTCTCCTCTCTCTCTCTCTCTCTCCCTGTTTCCTGAAGCTTGTCAGATTTTTGTCTAGATGGTGAGCTGTATCTGTTTGTAGTATAATATATCGAGAAAGGAAGATCAACAAACCCAAGACGGGCTTCCCTGCCTCTCTCTTTCTTCTGCTGTTTCTTTTTTCTCTCTGCCTATCTCTGTCTCTTCCGGTCTCGCTCGCTTGTTCGACATGGGCTTTCCGGTGGGTTATTCCGAGCTTTTCCTTCCAAAGCTTCTTATTCACACGCTTTCGTTTCTGGGTTTTATCAGAAAGCTCATCTCCTGGTTTTTCCGCTTTCTGGGGCTGGGGGATTTTCTCGAATCCGACATTGTTTGGCCGGACCGTCCGGCCCACGTCCCCGAATTTCATTCCGTGTCGGCCGTTCTCATCCGTGAAATCCTTCCCGTGGTCAAGTTCCAGGACCTGGTATCAAGCGACGGGGATACACCGGACAGCTGCGCCGTCTGCCTTTACGAGTTCGAGGGGAAGGAAGAAATTAGGCGGCTGACCAACTGCCGACACATTTTCCACCGGAACTGTTTGGACCGCTGGATGGATCATGACCAGAAGACTTGCCCCCTTTGTAGGACTCCATTTATACCGGACGAGATGCAGGAGGCGTTCAACGAGCGGCTTTGGGCTGCTTCTGGGGTTCCTGATTTCTATGGCGACTACTCGTACTCGTCGGTTTCCGCTTTGTAGCTCTTTCTAGGCCAGTAGGCCTCCTGGTCTCTGAAAACGAGGAAATATGGGAGGGATTTTGTTTTGTTTTGTTTTGTTTTTGCTGGGTGGCAACTGAATATGTATATACGCGTACATATAGATGAACCAAAAAAAAAAGTGAAAAATGCTTAAAAAGGATTTTTGTATAGCTTTTTATGAACTTGAAATTGGGGTCTCGTAAAAATATCTCTCTTCCTTCGTTTCTTTCCTTCTTTTTCTCTTCTAGCTAGACTTCAATGGCACAAATTTCTAGTTTTGGCCGGAAACTAGTGCTACTCTGGCCGTCGGAGGGGATGCCAGATCAAAGAGCAGGGAGTGAGGAATCAGGAGAAGCACAAAATAATGAAAATGGGAGCTAAAGAGATATTTGATCTGTTTAATTTAATCCAATGGCAATAAATTGGGCCCTGTCCCCTGTTTCTGCAAATACCCTCTTTTCTTTTTTCTTGATTTGAAACTTTTGAATGTTTCCCGAGATGGGTTTCGATTTTGAGATCAAGGAGATGTGTTTCTAGTCCAGTATTAATCATTAATGTTCCTATCTTAACTCTTGTCCTTTTTCCTTTTATCATTTTTCCTGCTGAAATCTTTCATTTCCACTGAGTTCCAGAACTGAGCTCTGATCTAGGCTTTCAATTCAAGGCAGACTAGGCCATGTGCTCGAAAGCCATTATTTTCTCCTTTGTACGCTCTGCAGGTCAGCAGCTGAATCATCCCAGAACTGATTTTCAGTCTCAGGTTCAGGAGTCTTTATTTCAATATTTTTAAACGGCCATCTCTTTCTTCATTTCTAACCTTGTTATTTCTTTGAGAAATGTTTTTAAATGACCTATCCCAGATCAAACACAAGAAGGGAACTAAGACCAGGGCCTGACTCCTGAGGTCGGCCCAGCTTTGTCGTTGTCTGCACTCTGCAATGAACTCAATCCATGGATTAGTATCAAAGGTAAACCTTTTCATATATGTAAGGGATGTAAACCTGTATATTTCTAATCCGTTTTGGATGGTGATCTACTGTTCTTAGCATAGAAATTACATTGTGGGTAGCATCTGAAATTCCAATTCCAAACACTCGCTGTGCAGAGAAGACCTGAATTGGAAATTTATTGAATGGGAAACCAACTTTAGAATAGACACTTGGGGGAGCTAACTTTGAAGTTAAAACATATAAAGAAGAAACTCATTTAGATTAATGTCATATCTTCAACTATGGACGTTATAGGTATAATCTGATCGTGTGTTTCTTCTGCGGGCTTGTTCCTTTTGGCTACTTATGATAATAGAGTTATAAGAAGTCACGAAAGAGGGAGTAAAGTTTAGAAAAATGCAATTAATCTGTATGAAAAAAAGACAAAACGAAATTAATGTTGTAGAATTAGATAAGAAATAGATCTTAACCCTAACAAACAACTAGTATATAAGTATTATTACTACAAACATCGAGTCCAACTTTGAATCTAACTCTACCTAACTATACTAAATCAATTAATATTGTAGGAGTTGGAGCTAATTAAACCCTTCATCTTGATTATTGTCTCTTTGAGGGTAAACCAACCTTGAGTTTCAAATTCCGATTTCCCAAAACAGCATTGCTATTAATAGCAAGAAGCAAGCCGTCACCCAAGATTCACCCAAAATCTCACATTCGAACTACCCAGTACCCACTCATCAAACGCAAAATGGATATTTGAGAGTCTAACTATGGAACCATTTTTATTCACCAAAGGCTCTCTTCTGTAAAAGACAAATTGTTTCCTGTTTCCCACCGTTTCCACGACAATCTGCAAAAGTAAAGAACAGAGAAAACAAACAGAAAAGAGTACTAAGTTTACAAGCTTTTCAAAAAACCCTGACGACACAAGTTTGACAATTAAATCAGGATATGCCCATGTATTATTCCTCTTCCTCCAATGAAGGAGCACATACCACCTGTTTATTCACATGATGAACAGTCCACAAAAGCAACAGTGTAACCATGATTCCCTCTGCACTTTGTCTTGGAGGGTTTGGCTTAACATTGACATCCTTCAATGACAATTAATAGCTCTCTTCTATGAATCTAGAAACTAAGGACGGCTCCCTCCATTAGTCCACATTTTAAACATAGATCGTCTACTTCCATTAAAAGTCTCGCCACAATGGACCATGACTTTGAATAGTGAGGACCTTTTTTGTTTTCTGGCTACATCAACGTGTCAAAAGGAGAATGAATGACAACAGTCTTCAACGAAATCGGAAGATTAATGCCGCCTCCAACACAGCCAAGAGTTGGATTTTGGATCAACTAGTGAACCAGACAGACATGGGAAACTACTCATCTTCTTCGGAAAATATATATAAATTGAAGTGCTCTACTTTTCCTTCCATACTACGAATAAAACCCAAAACAGAAAACACACTCCAATGGCAGGGCAACGACAATAGTTGAGGGCGACAGGGTATGTGGTGTCACATCTCATCTCATGACAGCGACTCGGTTGATTGTGGGAATCGAAAAGTGAGAATGACAGTTTTTCTCAGGGTTGATACATTGCATGGAGGAGGTAGACCTATTGGATCGAGCTCTTTTTATCTTTTAAATCCATTAATTGCTGGAGCAGAATCAAATATGATCTCAAAGGTTCCCAGAGACGCAGGGCTGATTATAGTGGTTTTGTGGTAGTTGGGTGGTGGCTAGGAGGTGGACGATAAGGTGAACAAGAAAATGGTGACGGAGACGCAGCAGTTGACATTTGACAAACGTGAGAATGAATACAAATACAAGGAGATGGCATCGTCTGTCCCAACCAATGAGTACCGAACAGATCGCCCTCTCCCTCTTTCATTTGAAACTGACGGAGTCCAGACCTAACGAGACAGTCTGGACTCCAAAAAAAATATTATCAAATACAATTAACCCTCCTTTCTTATTCCCTCTCTATTCTCTTATGGCTTCTGCACTGCTGCTTCCAAGTCTTCAACTCTTGTAAACTGGAGTAACAACGTTGGTACCCTGTGTTAGAGCACTTGATTAACCCATCTGAATTTTGAGAGTTCTTATAATTGGCATCTCATCATCATTATCAGAATTATTGTTTGATGATCATTATTTGCAGAATGATCCTCAATGATAATGTTGTTATAAGCATAGTTTCAGCCATTAATTTTGAGAGAATTAGGCCCTTCCAATGGAAAATATATAATCCATTAATTTTTACAGGAGAAAGAGCCATATAAATAACCATAGAACTATCCTCAAGGCTCAAGTACAGGGAAATTCATCTAGAACTAGTACAATACAGTATGCATAAACCGATGTGCATAGAAGACATCTGATTACCAAGACAAGACATCGGAACAACAATGACAATGGCGAAAAGCAAACACGGTTTCCTTTATTTAGGTTACCACCAGGAATGACCACGATACATCTACCACAATCACCCAGTTCTTTGCACACATCAACTAATACTGGACAAGGCATTCCTGCTTCCCATGAGTCATCGTTGTGTTGATTCCTTGATTCCCATCAGCTGCTTTCTCTCCAATGCTTTGAGCAATGCTTCCATTTGCATCGACATTGCAAGCAACGGGTTCAAAAATCAGAGCCATCACCTCCCTCCCTTCAGAGAGGGAGGCCTCTGCAAGGAGCCTCCAAGTTTTGTTTCCTTTTTAACACCATGTGGCCATTGATTTTCCACACAGCCGGGTTGACCTGAGTGTCAAGAAGCTCTGGGTTTACTTCCCCAAGTGCCTGCTTAGCATAACACTGTAATTATTTCAAGCAGCAAATTCAATCAGCACCCCAGATGCGATGTGCCTAGATAAAAAGGCTCGAATGGTATAACCATAAACTGGAGCAGCAGAGGACAAACAAAAAATGGTGCCAAAGTTTATTACCTAAGGCAATAGGAAAATCCGTTTCCGTTTCCAGAATCTGTTGTTATCTTAAAGGCGGGTACAGGATTCAGATACAACATTAGATAAGTCAAGCAGAGTATTAACGCCCTGAAACAATGAAGTAGAAGCCTCTCCCATGACGTAGAATAATGAAGGAACCTTGCCGTCGCCGACGGTTGAGGGAGGAGAAGAGAAGAGAGGGAATGAAAAAGTTACAGCCGCGAGGGTTGCAGAGGCATCTCGGACGGCGGTAGATATTCGTTGTGTGGCGATGAGAGTGAAGAAACGGTGGGGAGGGACTAGGGAGGAAAAGAGAATGGAAAGGGAATGAAAAAAAGCGGGTGAATTGAATTTGATAATTTTCTGGAATCCCAGACTGTCGTTAGGTCTAGACTCCGTCAGTTTCGAACAAAAGAGGGAGAGGGTGGTGTGTTCGGATGTTATTGGTTGGGACAGAAAAAATTCTGTCCACAGGGGACAGACGATGCGAGCTCGAAAAGGAGAGATAATATAACGTAATGGGCGGCAGGAACCATCGTCAAAGAATAGTACTGAGCACCGCGTCAAGAATTTCTAAACAATTGTAACCGCGTACGTGTTCGATGTTTCGGATGAATATGTTGACAAGTTTAAAAATAGCACTAAGCACAACACCATGCGAGGGAAGACCGATCTTTGTTACCAGAAAGAAGAACGAAAATTAGCTTGTTTGAATACTTTCAGCTAAATAACAATTATCTCAACTGTAGAATAACTTTTTAGATCCGTCTCCACTCATCTATACTGTATTCTAAAAGTTTTCCACGTCAGCCTACCCTATCTTACCCACCTTACAATTTTATGGGTTTTTTTTTTTAATTATAAAAATAAAAAATTAAAGAAAATCTATGATGCCAGAAAGACAATGAATATCCACTTGATTGGTGGTTACCATTTTTATGATATCAGTTGATTGGTGGTAAGTTCTTCGGTTATCATAGTTGAACCCAAAAATTAAATATGAGGCTCCTTAAGCTTACCCACAACCAATTTAGTTAAGAAACAGAATATAACATGGGTATCTTTTTAACACCAGCCTGCATCACATATTTGTATATGGCATTTTTTTTTATAATGATAGTAAATAATATGTTTTCAAGATTCTTTATATTTTTTTATATTTATGTCTATAAAAATTATTCATATTCTTTACACTTATTTTTGTTTAATATGATAAATATATGATATTAGATATACCAAAAAACATTTTTGATATTTTTATATGTTTTTTTTGTGTTTCTATCTTTCTAATTTTATTATTATTTAACTATGATATCAAGGGTTGACACATTTTGACACAAAAAATTGAATTTTTGGCTCGCCACCAAATGAAAAAATAACTGCATTTTTGGGATGATTTTAAATTTGTATTTTAATTTTATCATCAATAAAAATAATTATTATTTGCTGCACTTACTTTTCTTTAATATTTTTAATTAATATAGGAGTCAGTGAAAGAATGGGAGTTAATACCCTAAATATAAAACTTAATGAGAGGGAATTGAATGAGGAAAATAATGTAGTAGTTCAAATTACATTTTGTGCCCTCATAATTAAAGAGGACCAAATTCAAAAACAGGGATATTCTAGTCAAGAATAGGATTGAATGGATGTTAATAGGAGCTAATACCTTAAATATAAGATTTAATGAGAGGGATTTGAATGAGGAAAAAAATTGTTCAAATTACATTTCTGTTTTTACAGTTGAGGACCAAACTCAAAAATTGAAGTATTTTATTCAAAGAAAAGTTTTACACTCTCAAAAATAGGGGTATTCTATTCTCCTTAGCTTCCTTACCACCATAGATTTTTATGATTTTTTATTTAAAAATAAAATAAAACATGGGCTACTAACAACTGATCCAGTTTCCATTTTATAAGAAAACCTGTAATCACTCCCCTATAAAGCATGATCATCTTTTAGCACTAGCCTGTACATTACACAGGGCTCTTCTAGTAAATGCTAAAATGCAGCCCAATGACATATGCATAGTCCTCATATTGTGGTCAATTTTATAAACTAAGCTAAGTAGGTCTAGGCAAGCTTTGAAGTGTTGGAATAGAGCCTTGTTTAGGCATATTGAGCATCAAATTAATGCTCTAAAGTCTTAATTGAAAGAGCTTTATGATGAGACCTCCTATCCTACTGACTTCCATCAAGTAGCTGCTTTAAGGAAGCAGTTGGATTAGGAATTGAAAGGATAAGAACTCCTAGAGTTTTGCGGGCTCAAAGAAGGTAACCGAAACACAAACTTCTTCCACTAGCCAACCATTACTCGATGGAAAAGGGATCACCTACACTATATCAGAAATAGACATGGCCCCATGGTTGATTTAGAGTCAGAAATTGAGGAGGTAATTATTAACTATTTTTCTACTTTAGACAATGGAATTATTAACAACATTACCCCTGCTCTCTTTGAGGAAATAAGTAGGGGTGGTAACGAGTCAAGCTTTTTATGAGTTATTCAAGCTTGGCTCGTGAAAAGTTTGGTTCAGCTTGGTTTCAACCAAGTTCGAGTTCGAGCTCGAGCCTAATTCATTGGCTCGATTATGAAATGAGCCGAGCTCGAGCCTATTAGAGCTTAGCTTGTGAGGCTTGCAAGCAGGCTTTAATATATATATATAGATATATATATATATATATATATATATTATAATTCTTAATTTTTAAATATCAAATATAAAATATTTTTATATATAATTTTTTATTTTTTAAAATATTTTTTTCTCAAAATCGAGCTCGAGCTCAAGCCTTGTGGAACAGTCTTGAGCTGAGCTTGAGCCTCGTACTATTTGGCTCGGCTCGGCTCGAATCCACCCCTAGAAATAAGCAATTTTCTTTGTGAACCTTTATCCCCAAATGAAATTTGAAGTGTTGTCTTTTCTACTAGGCCCTTGAAGGCCCAACCAAGGCCCAAGTGATTTTCAGCCATCTTTTTTTCCAAAGTTTTGGGATATTGTTGGTCTTGATCTCGTCTCGAAGACTGGTTTTCTAGGCAATGGTTCTTGATAGTAGTTACTTCATAAGTATTACTCTCATTCCTAAATGTTGAGGCCCCTAAGTGATATGCATCAATTCCGACCCATTAGCTTAATGTATGTGGCTTATTGTATATTCTTTAAGTGCTTGGTATATCGCCTTTAGCACGTTGATTGCTCCTAGTGTGCTTTTGCGAAGAATACAACTCTTACAAGGGAAATCTATTGATGCCAATCTAGAGGATGAGTGGAGGTGGAAATGGAGTGGAGATGGCTATTTTTCAATCAAGTTCCTAATAACCAAACTCAACAGTTCAAATCCAATGATTTCCCTAGCAAACAGATTTGGAACCCAATCAGTCCTTTGAAATCAAATTTCTTGGTCTAGGTTATGGTGTTGAACAAGTGCATCTAAGGGGGCGTTCTTTTTCTGGATTTTGAGAGGGGGGAAAATTGCTCAATGGGATTTTGATTCCCATTGACCAAAGATCCCATGTTTATTTTTCAGATTTTTGTGGGGATTAGGGAAAGTTTATTTTCCTGGGAATAACTCACCCAGGTAAGTGATACCCATCTCCTAGGTGGGTAAATAACTTTCCCACCTTGGGGGAAAGTTGCCAATACTTGAAAGGGACAAAAATGCCCCTTGTAATAATGGATTTTTATGGATAAAATGGTCATTACCTTAGTTACATGGGAAATAAAAGAACATGGATAAATGCACTTACCGGATAAATCTTTCCTAGGAAACAATTACCTGGGTAAGTGCATTTACCCGGATAAATAACTTGCTGAAATGCGAACGGGGGCCTAAAGTCAACTTGGAAAGGAGAGGGATGCAACTCCCAAATTTGGTATGGTCTATTTCCTGAATCTGTTGATCACCTAAGTATCCATTGTCCTATCTCTTCTAAGGTGTGGGATCACTTCCTCAAAGTTGTTGGTGTCTGTTGGGTCATGACAAGTTCTATCAAAGATCTGATATGTTGCTGGAAGATACCGAGCTTGAAGAAGAAAGAGAAGTTAATTTGGAAAACCATCACTGTAGTTGTTCTAGTATCGATTTGGTCTTGAAATAACAAAGTTTTCGTTAACAATCTGAAAATTTTAGATGAACTAGTGCAAGTTGTAAGTAAGTTGATTTCTTAGGTGTCTACAAACTATGAGTTTAAGCATCTAAATGTGCCTCAGCTACATTTTTCTCAACCCTTGTGAAATCTATAAGTTATAGTTTTTTTTCTTGGCTAAGCCTCCTCTAACCAGGAAGTTGTTGTATCCTTTTCTCCTCTTATTCAATAAAATTTTACATTTCC